TTTTAACCAGCAAAAAGTCTAAACTACCCTCAGTCTTACTCTAATCTCTACTATCTTCCAGAAGCTCAAGCTAGAAAAAATGCTGAGGAGGGAAATAGTCCTAAGCACCATGTATTTTCCTGTTAATTATCCTACCACTTGTATAGGCTATCATCAAAATGTGGAGTTTTGTCCATTACAGAGTAAAAGAACAGGATCACTCGTGATGTAAGTAAATATCATATGGGAGCTATGTACACATAAGTATGTACACATAAGTAAGTGTGTGTGACAACACAAACCAAACAAAAACAAAAACTCTTAAGGATCTCTTGGGTCTACTATAGGCTTTTGTCTCTTAATTCATGGATTTCTCCCCTGGATTTAGTGAATGATAGATTGTGGTCATCCATTCAGAGAGCAGATGGCTTAACGTGTTACTGAAACATGTGTTAACAATTCAGCAGCCAATGTTAAGCAAAGATTCAGTGCAGGAGTAGCTTGTAGTCACACATCACAATACACCTGAACTCTAGCCACCATTCCGTGGGGAGGATGGAAAAATCAGCACCTCTCATTCTCTACTTCCTATTCTAGTTTGTAAAATGGGCAGGTTGGAATAGATGAGCCCTCTGCAGGTTTAACTTGGGTTCCTGTTAGGGGAGGTTACTATACACTCCAGCCAAATGTAATTCTCAGACTCTTCTTTAAATATATACACACATACATGCATATATACATAAATATTTCTTCATTACCAACATTGAGTTAAAAATGCAAGAAATATCTGAACAAAACGTTGTATTTTCAAACACCTTGACTAAAGAACAGGTATAATGGAAAAATAAAACCATAAGCTTACAACAGACAAATCTAAAATTAACTTTTCTAAGTATACTTCTGCCTGGCTATAATTTAAAGATTTTCTGCACTGAATTGCTATCACTACTCTTGACTAAAAATATATCTAAGATAACTCCTCAAAATATTTCAAATGAGATTTAGAAAATTTTTGTCTGAACAATAGTTTCATTTCTAAATTTACAAGTGTATTCACAATAATGAATGACAGCATCTGATAGTTACCTACTACTGAGCACATGAAAAGATTTTATGCATATCTCCTACTGAGCAGAAATGTGAAATGGGTACACTGCTATTTACAGAAACCTAAGCCAAGGACCAAAGAGACTGAATTATAACTTGTGCTATTCAGTTATTAAGGAACAACTGGTCATTCTAAACTCACATAGTTTGGCTTTAAAGCTCAAGTCTTACTGCTATTAAGATCCCAAATATCTTACTGTAATGTTCATTTAATTAATTCAATAAATACCATGTACCAGGCTATACTAGCAATAGAATAATGCATGCATATATATGTATATATATATACACACACACACACACACACACATATATATATATATGGTCAAAACTATCTGGATTCATGCAACTTACATTTACTAGGAGAAAGAAGACACTAGACAAAAATATAAAGAAGCAAAATATTGGTGATAAGTGCCGTGTAAAAATTAAAACAGCACAAAGAAAATACCACAGGAATGAGGTAGGGAAGAAAGTTTGCATAGGATGTATGTAATACACTAGATAAAGATGATAGTTTTTGTATGTATACTGTTACAGATTAAAACCATAGTGTTGATCAAATTTCCTTTGTTATGTCAATCCATTTATCATTATGTCCCTGGCAAAATAATAAATAAACAAATAAATAATAAATGTCTCTCATAATCAAATGCCGTGCTCAATTTCATTTCAGAAATTCAAGTGCATGGCAAAACAATCATAAGGAATTCAATATTTGCAAAATTTTAATTACAATTAACTCCCTGACTTGTATTTAAAAGAAAATTACAGTCTCTTCATTACAACAGTAAATATTCTCTCATCTTAAAACATTGTAGATTGCTAAAAAGGAACCTGCCTTTGTCTTCCTATTCTCCTCCTATGACATGCAGGAACTCTTAAGAAAAGACAAAGGACAACGGTTGTAAGAGATCTTTGCTCCCCTCCCCCAACTCTTCCTCTCGGTGAGCCACAAAACAAAAGCACTTAGACTTTAATAGAAAGAAGACTTAGAATCTGTCTTCTAACCCAGAGTGGGATCTCTTTGTACTTAATAAAAGTAGAAAAGCCAAATCATGGCTGTTTCTTTTTCATTGAGAAATTTGTCAGGAAGTAGAATCAGGAGCCTGTCTCTCCTGAGGAACTCTCTCCACACAACTCAAGTTCCTCTGTGCCATAGCAATGATGGCAAACAGTTTCCAGCGTGAGCTTCTTTCCCAACAACAGAGAAAAGAATATGCCCCAGAACTCCACCCAAGGGAAATTGCCTTCTACTATTAAATTACCTATATGGAGTAGTTTATATGAATGGCCATGCAGTGCTTGTAGGTGAAAGATTTGTTATGCTAGGTTGTTTTATACTGTTTTGGAGTAAAAATCCATCACAATAGGAAATGTACATTGTAAACCAATTCTATAAATATATCATATTTTCAGTTATAGAAAGGTTTCTAGTATAAAATTTCCTAAGCTTTCTGATGTATAATTCTAGGATCAATTGGAGATCCACAGCATGGTAATAAGAGGTACATTTGAATGATTGCATTATTTATGATTTTATGGTTTTATTTTCTGGTAATTTTGGGAATTGAACTCAGGGCCTTACTTATTAGGCAAGGGCTCAACCATTTGAGCCTTTACTTGACAGAGACAGGGATGTTGCTTGAAAAAACAGGTGCTTGTCTTGAACCATATCCTTATGATTTCTGGCCCTGGAGAATCTGGAATTACAAGTATAAGTCACCATGCACAGCCGTATCCCTAATGTATTTTTCTTACTTTCATAGTCAGATGTTCTATGTGTTTAAAACTTATTTTCAGAGTAAGCTTCAAATGTATTTGTAATGGTCTGCTATATCTTTTAAAGGAGAGAAACTATATAAAAATTCTCAGATATGAGACCATGAAATTTTCATAGGATAAATAATATTTCACCACAAAATTTTAACAAGTAAGACAATACACATACAATGTGCATGAAGTTATTAAGTCCCTCTCCTTTGAATATTCATTTAAAGGTAAAGTGAATTTGGACCCAAATAAAAATATTAAAATCTTTTCTTTGAGGAGAATTAAGTTAAATCAATTTAAAACCTTACTCACCATTTTTCTTTTCAGTGCTGAATGTGAAATAAAGGATAGCAGCAAGCTAGCCTTAGTTTAAATGAGGAAAATCTGTCTATTGACCCCACCCCACAGAGTCACCAAGGAAAGAACATCCCCGGTGAGTTTTCCTGGCAGGAACAGGTTAGCATTTTAGCTTTTGGCAAGCTGAAGATTCTGACTTGGAAACAACTCTTAAAGGTACCTCCATTATAAACACATATTGCAGCACATTGCATTTTATGTCATTTTATTTTATTTTTGTTGTCTGTGGTGAATTCTTGGTTGAATGATTTTTATCTCTTTGATTAATAGCATTTCCAATATGTACCTTTGGACTACCTTCCTGGATATTTCATTGTGTTTTAGGCAATAAGTGTTAGGAATAAAAAGATAGCAGTGATTATAATAGAAATGTCAATATAAAAATTTACCTGTCCAAAACTAGTAATAATAGAATTCATATTTTTCTCCTACTGTCAATTTTTCTTTATCAGAGTCACAAAACTGGACTCTAGATGGCTAGTCATTTTATCCTAAGTTGATTCAAATGTTTATCTCCTGCTTAAGTGTTAATCAGCCCAAATTGCCAGATAAGGACGATATTCAAAAAGGATTATCGCTAATCTAACAGGCTCTCCTCTGGACCTTTTAGAAATCCAGCTCCCAAGCCCTCACTCTAGCACCAAAAAAACTCTCAAATAAATTTTCCAGAATTCGTGTGGAGGACTGGGGACTCTGGGCTAGAAGACGTGTCTCTGACAAGAGGACTCTGGCTGCAAGATGCTAGCGTTGGAGCTGGGAGCTTGCACTTACCCTGGACGGCGGAGGGGAGGGGGGGGGGCGGGGAAGGAAGGAGAGAAGATGCTATAAAGAAAGACGCTTGGAAACTGCCAGTGCTTAGTGCCTTCTCCCACTACCACGGGAGATACAAGCCTGAACCAAGTCTCTTAGTCTTTGAGGTCTCTAATCAGCCAGATCCCTAAGGGCGGGCGAGAAAATGTGCATTGTTAGGTCCACACTTAAGACTGAAAGAGTAAGGTTTAGTGGTTGCTGTTGTTGTTTAATCCAAATACACACAATAAAGGCGCGGGGTGGGGGAGAAAGCTTCCCCTTGCCCTGCACTGTTCAGGCCTTGCTGCTGTGACAGCGTCATTGTAGGATCCTTTCGCTCCAGCTTTGAGGTGTGGATGCTAGGGGGGTGGGGGGGAGGTGCTTTGTGGAAGCCGGCTCTAGGACCTAGGCAGCGACCACCGCGCCCCAGGCGGGAGGCCCCGGGGCGCAGCAGAAACGCCTTTCCACACCCCGCACCCTTCCTCCCCCCAAGAAGGAACAGAGCTCATTAACAGGTGGAATCGCACCCTGGGAGCCTGAAATCCCGCCTGCCTCCTTAGAAACACACCCTGTAGATTCTGAGCACCATCTGGGCGGGCTCCTAGGCCGGGAATTCTTCGGCACTACGGAGGGCTGGGCACCCAGGAGAAGCGCGGGTGACTCTCGGTCCCCACGTTTGCCCCGACCCCAACAGTACGTCCTGGCTGTCGACTTCCAGATCTGGCCTCAGCTCTTACCCTGTCTTACAACACGTCAAGTCAACCATCTATCTATCCCGAGAACCTGCTTCAGTCCCCAAGCAGGCAACTCACCCAGCCGAAATCTTTGGGGCTCTCGAAGGAGAGACCTGCCGTGCTATCCTCTAGTAGGTGTGTCCCGGGCTGGACGATTTCTCCCAGGATTTCCCAAAGGCCTCGGAGCCTTCTTTGAAGGATACAAACACCAACCCCCAGTACCCGACCCCATGCCCCTCTTCCCCCCCATCCCAGCATTACCTGTTGGCTGCCAAGCGAGATGCGATGTATCCACCCGGAATCTGGGTGATAATGTAGCCCCAAAAGAAGGAACCATGGATCATTCCCACGGTTTCTGGGTCCCAGTTGAATTTGGCTTTCTACGGTGTGAGAGAAAAACAAAGAAAAAGAAAACAACACCGTGGTGTGAGGTGGGCAGAGTCAGAATCGAAGATTCCTCCCGGGCACTCTGCGGGTGAGAACTCTAAACATGCAAGGCATTTCTTGATTTCCCAGGTGCGGGGAGGGGAGGGTTCCTGGGGCTCAGTTTTTCGTTTCTAACAAACCTGTCGTAGCTCAAAAAGCAGTACTCATGAAGAAAATGTTTTATGAGGAAATACTAAGCCAGTCGTCCTAGATTCGCTTCCTGATTCCTGCCTGGCTGCTAACATGAACTTAAAATGGGTGAGGAATCTTTAAGACCCTTTTTTTGGAAATTCAGACTGCTCGCTAAGATGTCCCTTAGCCAGGTCGGGATAGAGCCTTCTGATGGATTCTCCAGGATCCATTTGATCAAGGCAAAGCTGTGAGCACATTTGAGCAGGTGTGACTTGCAGAAAGAAATTCATCCCGTGTGATCTAATTTTGGGAAAGGAAGGTGCAGGTTTGCAGGCCCCGAAAAACTCCTTGTCTATAACCTCTGGGATGGGTTTGAACAAAAATGAGTTGGAATCGGTGACTTGGCGAATTTGAGGAGGGAAGAGGATCAAGATTGTGGGTGAGGGCTAGGTCTAGAAGTCAAATCTAAGGCTGGGGAGTCCAAACAGCTCTGTGGAGTGAATCTGGAAAGAAACTGAGGCAGAATATCCGCATCGGAACGGGGCAATCGTTCATCTATCTTGCAGAAGGAACGAACTGGTACCATTTCCCCCCCTCTCCTTTTGAGCTCATTTTAAGACCAAAAGCATTTTTTCCCCAATTTGTGGTTCTCAATTTTGTCTTCTCAGCCCTTTTCTAACTGAGTTTACTGGGGGTGGAGGATTGGATGTTCCTATACAAAAGGAGCAACGGGTTTCTGTGACCTTGAAGTGACCTCCTATCTTTTGGCATCACTGCCCAACACAAGCACTGTACAGTAGTGGAGTGGTTGGCTGCCCTAGGAACCCGACTCGCAGGCGATGTAGTATCTCTCCCGGTAAGTCAGGCGGACCCTTCCAGAGGCCTCTCTCAAACATGCTCACAACGCGTTTCACTTCCCTAGTTTTGTTTGATTAATCACAATGGGTGCAATCTGGAGGAAGTCGGGGAGAAGTATAAGTGATACGCTACTAATTGTTCCTCTATATTTCCCACTAACAGGAAAAAAATATTTCTACTTAGATTGCATTGGCACTATCAGTCATCAGCTTGTAGTAAATCATGTACAGCAAGCTGGAGAGCTCATTTCCTCTTCCTAGATGAGGACGGGAGAGCTAGGCTAGAAAGTGGCTTAGAGAAAACCCAGGCCTCCTCGTCCCAAGTGGGTGAATGGGGGTACACAAACAGGGGGTGCGGCTGTGCGAGGCTGGGGGCGTCTGGGCACGCCGGTGGTCGCCCACCTCCTTGATGACTTTGCCCCCGCGGTGGATCGTGCTATTGTTAACCATGTCCACGATGGCCACGCCCAGGTTGCAGCGAATTCCAAAAGAGATGCAGAAGCCCAGGCCGCTCATGATGGCGATGATGTAGCGGCGGGGCAGGCCGAAGCAGGTGCAGTCGCACAGAGGGGCCTTCTTCTCCGACACCTCCAGGGGCTTCCCATCCTCAGTCAGCTCAATGGTCTCTCCACCCTCCTGCTTCTTCTCCAGCACCCTGAGGATCAGATTAAGGAGGAGGCAAAGGGACCCAGGGTTAGGCAACCTCTCACCCCCAACACTTGTATATTCTCGTTTTCCCAGGCGGGTCGAGGCTGACCAGAATTGCGCTGACCCTGCCTCTGCCTGAGGAGTCGGGGTGGTGAGGCCTCTCCCCCACCCCCCTGTGGCGTCTGCGGGGGCTCCCCAGCACTCACTACTCCCCCTCCCTCCAGAGTCCTCAACTCCTAGACCTTGAGGCTAAGACATCTAATCCCTGTTATCTTGGGATCCAGCCTCCAGGGTCTCTATTTAGATCCTGGCCACTTTGACCTAACTTTCAGGGTCTACAATTTGTTAGGGAACAGGTTAGCTGGGCGAGGCCTCCCGGGCTCCTGGGTGAACAGCTCCCCATCCTCAGACGCTAGGGCTCGTGACTCTGGCAATGGCCCTGGGTCTTTTCCAACCCACACAGCCTCTGGTGTGCAGCGATTCCTCTGCCTTCTCAACCAAACTGAAGCTTTGGAGGGAGTGGGGGTGAGAATGCGGAGATTCCCCTCCCCCAGGAGGCCCCAGGCCCCCACCCCACTCCCAGTGGGGGGAGGCCTATCTTAGCCAGTGGCCACGCCGCCAAGAAGGGCGGAGGCATCTCTCCCGGAGTGTCCAGCACTCTATTTCCTTTTTCTCTAAACCCAGGGTGCCTGATCAATGTTAATTCCCCCATTACACATCGTTTTTATTTTATTTTTCCTTTTTTACTCCAGTTGGAAACAAAGGCCTCCGCAGCATATGGCCGACACCTAAGCTTTCTACTGCTAGAACATGAATAATTAATTATCCACAACCTGGCGTCATTACTATCTGGATTATAAACACAGAAAGAGCTCATGTGCTCATTTCCAGAGACATAGAATGAGAGACACCCCGCCACCCCCCCCCCCCCCGACAAAGCGTCTACACGAACTTTTGCTATGATGTGCCACACTGAGGTAGAAGATTTCACGTTAAGAAAAATGAGCATAGTATTTCACAGGATTCCACCCATATGATTTAATTCTTTTTGAGCTTTGGTCCTTGGGGAAGAGAGAAAAGGAAGGGAATTTTGCAGTCTTTAAAGTGTGTGAAAGAGAATAGTTGTATAGTCTCCTGATATTGATTCTTTTAATACCTGATCCCTCTGGGCTTACAATTTGGATTTATTTCCCCAACCCACCACAGAATTATTTCAAAACTGTGCCCTTTCAATATGGCACGGTCATAGTTGCTCTCTCTCTCTCTCTCTCTCTCTCTCTCTCTCTCTCTCTCTCTCTCTGTCTCTCTGTCTCTCTGTCTCTGTCTCTCTCTCTCTCTCTCTCTCTCTCATTAGTGAAGCAAATAAAATTTTAAGATCAAGGCTGCACAGCTCAGGATCTATTGAGGCTGCCAAGGAATCTGAGGCTTCCTTCAAACACTCCCAAATTCTAGAAAACATCACCTGAGAATAACTCGTGAAGGTATTTGCATCTAGGTGAAGGTATATCGCTGCAGTCCAGTTCCAGCCTTAAAAAAAATCATTGAAATTTTTGAGAGGGGAAGAAATTAGCCAATTTGATACTTTTACACGGTCTTGATATACCTATAGATGCAAAGCGGGACTCTGCACCTGAGCTGACCACCTGATAGCAGCTGGGCTGGGAAAGAGACGCCCTTTGCAGGGTGGCTTTGGGACTGCAGGGCGCCTGCGGTATCTACTGCGGCATGAGTGGATGATGGTGCTTATGTGAAGCCCACCAAAATGCAGAGATTTGGGAGACGGGGGATTGCAAGGGTCGTCTTCTCTACATGCCTTATAATTTACAAAGGCTTCGGTTTCCCAAGTGTGAAAATTAGTTCTCTCTGGGAGTCGTTTGTCCTTTTGTATATGAACTTTCTCATTGATTTTATCCCTACCATTAACAAGAAAATGGTGTTATCAGAACAAACAAGAAAAGATTTAATTTTTTTCAATTTCCAGCATAACTAGCAGCATCAATAAAAGAAGAATAAAATATTTAAAAATATTTTCTGTTACCTTCAGGGTGATTTTGACCAATTATTATTATTATAGTTGTTTTTTTCAATCAGCATGGTTACATGTCCCAAGCAAGAAAGAGACTTCTAGAAGATGCTTAATAAATAAGAAAACATATGCATATTAATTTAGCTTCTGAGACAGGAACTACTTTAGCTGTCAATTATCAATATATTTTCACCCCTCTTCTGTCAGTACCAAAGGAAGATTGCATGGCTAATTCTCTACTGTAGTTTGAAGCTGATTCCTTGTCCATTTTTCTTTTAAACGGTTGGCTTTTGATAGTTATTTGTCTCCATGAAAGCAATTTAATTTTCTGCAATGAATAAATACATACACACCAACTCTTCGAACAAGTACCAATCATTTCTTAATTTCAAGGAGGCTATGTCCTAGGTGGGAAAGGATGGGAATCTTCAGGTACCAAAATAAAACTCTCTCACGCACACATACACGAACACATGCACTAACAGATAGGTTCATTTAGTGTAACATTCCTGCATTAATAAGCAGGTTTCCAGAGCAGCCTTCTTCCATCAGAGCAGCAAAAAAAGACCTACCGATCATATTACAATCTCTCTAAGCAACCAAGATTTTACGGAAATGGTCCTGACGGTTTTTTTTTTTCCATGAACAGCCCCAGGTAAGCATGGGTTTTCTTTCTCTTACCTGTAGATCTGGCCGAGGGATTTTCCAGCAAAATTCTTTAGCCCCTCTGTTCCTGGGGCCAAAATCCTTTGTTTTACCGACTCCATTCTTGCAAAGACTGATGACCAGGTCTTGCCAGTTTGAAACAGTGATTGCTAAGAGAGAGGAGGGTTGCGCATATTGTCTTACTCGCTTAGGGTAGGTGTGAGCTTTTTTCTTCTCAGAGGAATGGTACTGGTGTGCCTCCAGCGAGAGTGAGAGTAAGCGCGGGGAGGGAGCGTGAGGTTGAGAATACAACGGAATAGCTGCATACAACCCACGGGTTTCCTAATAGGAGAGTTGGTAGACACAATCAGAAAGTCTCATTGGAAGGGGGAGGATCCGGTGGCTCAGGGCGCACGCAATGCCATGGTATTTGGGCGGGTGCGGAGGACTCCTGGTCCTGGAAGTCAATTCATGGGGAGAGGGGGGGAGCCAACGATAACAACAATATACATTCCCGATTTTTTTTTGGAAAAGGCTAATTGCAATTCAACCTTTTTTTTTTTTTTGCTTTTAAACCGAGGAACCAGAAATGTTACAGAACCCTTTGGAAGGGGCAAAAGCCAAAGAATATTGCTCTTAAGAATGGTGCCATTGCTATAAGAAGCTAAGCGCCCTTCAAAACTCTAGAGAGCACCTCAGGTCTCAGGTGAGCCATGCCGCTGTTAGTTATTCCTCCCTTTCCGATGGTCTCCTCCCATCACGCCGGCGCAATTCTGCTCTGCGGTAGAGTCGAATTAAGATGGAGAAGGTTAGTTGTTCCTTGACAACGCGAGTAACTAACAGATGCGCGGTTCTAATTTGGGAAGAAGCATCAATGAACAATTTTCAGAAACGCTGACCGCGCCCTTCTGGGCTAGCCTCAGCGTAATGTTTCAGCACCACGGACAGCGTTAAGTTTCAGGAAAACAGGATGCTGCTTTTGGCTAGCCCGGTAGCCAAGTTTCTGCCCACCAGGGGGGCTGGGCAGCTAGCTCTGAGCAAAGATCATTGTGGGTTTCTTCAGGAACGGACGTGTGCTATAGAAACCAAGTGGGAAGGTGTCATCCTCTCAAGCTTTGCAGAGAGAACTCTGTACTGAGCTTCGCTAAGAAGGACTTCATTAAAAATGGACAAGTTTCTTCCAGTTTGCTACATTTTGCCCAGTATGCTGGTTCCAGTTCTGACAGTTTCGAAGGGAAGGAACATCATAGCATATTTCACTGTCTGAGAAGCTTCTATAATATAAAATGTATGTTCATGTAAAGCATAATTACATTGTTCCTGTGTTTGATTTAACCAAGAGTAGGAAGCAAAATAGGTGGGTAAAAACAAAGGGAGACAAATAAAGAGGCGGGGGCAGAAAAGAAAATGAGAAAAAAAAAGAACAGCTGTCATGTCAGAATACTTAGTTAAATTAGAGACAGACCATTCATATTAAATTCCTTAGGATTTTAAGCTTTTTATTGTGCCAATTTACAATACAGTATGGAAATATCAATGTACCAAAGAAATGCGTGCCTCTAGCTTAAGCCAGTCAACACATTAAGACTGATTTTTTTCATAAAAAGTATGCACCAAATGGGAAAATTGATAATTTTTAAAAGATCTATATTAATGTAGTTAGAAGTCCATTGAAGTCTTATGTTCGCCTCTCTGTGCTATGTTCTCCTAAGGCAGAATTTTTGAGTCATTTGAAAATTTGGTTTTACTCATGTAAGCATATTCTCAATGGATTTATTTTATTTAGCAAGACAAGCTCTGCTAAATTAATGTTAATTATTAATGCCTTTCACATTAATTACAACACCCACCTTACTCAGGAAAATACTTATAAAACACACTTGCCCTTGAACCATATTCCCAAGGTCAAACCCTTGGATGTTATTTCAGCAAGAGAGGTGAGTATATGATATGTTGAGACCATAGGACTGAATCTCGGGAGTATGGATCTAAGTACAGAATCATAGAAGAATATTTTTCTGAATGGCTCTGTAATGCCTTGAACACAGTCAGTTCAGATATGAAGATATTTAAACACACACACACACACACACACACACACACACTCATTAGGTGTCTTCCTTGCAAATAAAGTTCCAGCTACTCAAGACTCTCAAAGATGCTTGACAAAAAAATTTGAGCCTTCTGACTCTTTAGTGATTCCTCAAAACTCTCAAAGATGCTTGTCAAAAAAAATTGTGCCTGGGCCGGGAAGGTGGCTCAGTGGTACAGTGCTTGCCTTGCATGCTCAAGGCCCTGGGTTCGATTCCTCAGCACCACATAAGCAAAAAGAAACAAGCCAGAAGTGGCGCTGTGGCTCAAGTGGTAGAGCACTAGCCTTGAGCTGAAGACCTGAGGGACAGCACCCAGGCCCAGAGTTCAGGCCCCACGACCGGACCCCCCCCCAAAAAAAAATTGTGCCTTCTGACTCTGTAGTGATTCCAATTAGGCCTAATTCATTGAGTACTATCCCTGATTTTTAAACTCTAGCTATTTGAATTAAATTTAAAAAATAAAACTTAAGATGTGTTTGTGAATCTGAGGTAGCAACTTAAGCAATCCTGCTTAAATTTCTCCCCCAAAAGATTAGAAATCTAAACCACCCACAATCTCATGGTCAAGTCACCAACTCACTCACTCTAACAATCTGTCATGAAAGCATTGTTTCCAGTCACAGAACCACATTCATCTTTATTTAAAAAAAAAAAATCTGGCTTTCTCCTCAGCTCTCTTAAGAGCAGTTTGCTTGAATTAGAATAAGTGCTAATATTGATTTATTCATTCTAAAAAATGTTCGTTGAATGCCAACACTTACACTAGTTCTGGGAATGCTCAGGGAGGATCTCACAAGCTCCATAAGAGATAAATACATAACTATAATATAAATAAATAATTGTAAAATTAAGCATATCAAACATAGTCCAGCCAAGATTTTAGGAGGCATTGTTTCATTATCTTTCTCAATCTGTGCTGTTGTTGTTGTTGTTTGTGGGAATTGAACTCTGGGTCTGGGGCGCTGTCCCTGAGCTCTTCAGTTCAAGACAAGTGCTCTACTACTTCAGCCACGGAGCCACTTCTGGTTTTCTGGTGGTTAATGGGAGATAAGTGTTTTTTTGTTTTGTTTTGTTTTTCCTTTCTTGCTATTGTTTTTAACATATTTATAATGTGCTATGTGATTTTTTTTGTTTCTTTAGTATGTTCTGCCCTTGGTTAGTTTAGTATGTTCAACCCCTGTTGTCACTGTATTTGATTCTGGTATCCTGTATCTTTATACATTTTTCTAATTTGGAGAGGGGAAGGGAAATAACAAAATGCTTAAATAAGGATACAGGTTGACCCATGATAACAATGAGATGTACAAGACACTATCTTGAAAACAAACTTTACAACTTTGGCAGGGAGCAGGGTGAGGGTAGGGGGTGGGGAGGGTGAGGTGGGGAGAGGGGGGAGTTAGGGAGGTGGGGAAGGAAGGGATGGTAGGGGGAAACACAGGAGGAGGTAACAATGTTCCATAGGAAATGTCATTACCTTACTCATGTAACTGTAACCTCTCTGTACAATATTTTTACAATAAAAACATTAAAAATGCCACACACACAAAAAGAAGAGTCTCACGGACTTTCTGCCCCAGCTGGCTTTGAATCACTATCCTCAGATCTCAGCCTCCTGAGTAGCTAGGATTATAGGCATGAGCCACAGGTGCCCAGCTTTCTCAATGCTTTAAGAAAAATGTAGACCTATGTTAAAGTGGTATCCAAATGGAGTTGGGAAGAGTCACTATTCATCTAGAGGAGACATCTTTAACAAAGGGCATAAACAAGGGGAAATTTTGTGTATGGAAAATTGGAAAAAATATTAAAATATCTCGATACTATTTACTAACCCAACAGAAATTCTTCATCGGGTCTCAAATTCCAAATATTGAACATGACTTTTATGATCATTATAAGCATACCAAGGTTAACTTTAGGCAAAGAAATACTCATAATTATACATTTGCTCTGGGTGCATTTTTTAAAAGCCTTGCTTTTTCTGGACACTCTCATTTAATCCGGATCTCTTACAACAAGTTTTAACAGTCACTTAAATCCCATCATTAGATGTTTCCTGCTCAGAGAATGATCCCTGCCCAAGAAGACTCCATTGCATAGAACTAACATGATAGAAGATTACAATTTGTGAGTGGGTTCATTTACATGATGAGCTTATACCTTTTAGTTCATTCTTATTTTATGGGGCAGCAAAGTTGGATAGAAGAATTTCCTAAAGTCATGCATTTGGTGATGAGGATGAAGAAACAGCATGGTTCTGGTCAGCTTCTCACAGCTTAAGATCTTGTAAAATTCAGTATGTCATGGGTGGAGGCCCAAATTAAGCACTGCTAATAATTATCCAAGTCTGATTGAATCACAGATTTCACGATCAACCACTTCAAGTATAGCACTTGATCTCAGCTGTTTTGGTTTGGGGTCCAGATACTGCTGATTATCCTTCCTGTAACTTTGACTCAACCAGTTAATATTAAAAAACTTCAGCATTTGTAATTGGCCCAAATAAAGGCTGATTGTAAGTGATCACACTTGTGCCTTCTGGTTGTAAATTTTCATAACACTTTCATGAATTATTCACGGACACATTTCTTATCCTATTTTCCTCCAATTACGAGATTCTTTTCCAAAACGATTTAAGTAAAGTGATTAATAATAGACTGAAAAGAACAAAATACATGTAAAAATGTGCTCTCTTTGAAAGTTTAATCTTATGTAAGAAGCAAACTTATTTTTGTGTTTTACTATGAGTTGAAATTCACATTTACAATTGTTCAGATGATTTCATGAACAGCTTCTAAAAGTATATATGTAAGGTATTACTTCGCAACAACAAAGTGGATATACATTTGTTTATATCCAGTACTGAAGAAACACTTTTGGGAAATTAAACATCTTGTAAACGTTGCCCTCTGGTGGATGGCCATGCTAATACCACACAAACAATGTAGTCTGAATTATATAATATAAAACATATTATATAATTTTTCCTTTTTCTTAGTATTTGCTAAAAATCAAAACTATTCCTTACATCA